TGGGATCGTTGTGTTCACTCCCAGGGGAACTACTTCGAGGGTGATGGATGAATTTAATACCTGAGATAAGTGTACGGGTTTTTATATATATATGCGCAGTCTTGAAACTTTCCGATCGCACCTCGTACAGTGTTCAATGTGACAAATCTGTGTTGTGATTTGTATTGCGTAATTTAATGTAGTCATACAAACAAGGATTTCACACAAAATGAGTAACTGGAAGGTGTGTTCTTAAAACAGATTCAAAAATTAATCCATAATCACATTTCTCTGCAAAAGTAAGCGCTGCCTCTTTGTAGATGCATTAACTACAAAAATTAAACTGAATTTTGTATCAGTACATTTTTCAACATGTATATACCAGGTATGACAAGTAATATGCTACAAGCATGCAACACTTTGTACAAACAAGTGGGGATTTGCAAGGAAATGAAGGGGGACTCATACATATGAACATAACAATTAAACTGTAGTATAAGCCAAGAAATTTATTTGAGAGCTCTGACCCTGGTAAAAAAGATGTTACTTTTGGGAATGTTAACCTGTATCTTTGAAGAGTTGTACTGAAATATTTGTCTCTATTGGGTATTCTACAAAGTGTTTACACTTACAAAATTAAATATTCCATGCACAAAATTATAACTCAAGTAATTACAAAGTTTGCAAGTGTGTAAGGAAAACACATGGATTGTATACCTGTGGTCTCAAACCAGTTTATTTTGGCATCACTTAAAAAATCTATAAATTAATTTTCCCATCTTCATAATTCACACCACTTAATCACATACTACTTTTATTCCCATTGAAATTCATGGGATCTGCCACATAATTTACCATATGTTGCAAGCTTGTACACTCCAGTTGCTGAATGTGGTGTACGAGCCCATTTGGTAAGATTCTGTTTCAATGTTTTTGTTTAGGGATGCAAGAAACATGGCACGAGATGTTCATAACATTGTGCTGAAGGTTGTTCAGCAAAAGGGAGGTATGACAGAAAGCCAGGCACTTGCATATGTCAAGAAGATGGAGGCACAGAAGCGGTACTCAGCTGATGTATGGAGCTGAATATCGTAGTTGTAATAGTAAGAATTCAATGAAGCAGCCAAGAAAGCACAGAACTTGGAAATTAATTATAAAATGAAAGGCAGAAATTAATCTACAGCTGTGTAATTTTAAGAACATCACCATAATTGTCTTAACTGTCTTTTATTTTCCTTGGTGATCTATCAGACTTGCAGCATACTTCACGTTCTGAAGTAATAAGATTTCATTTACATATTTTAAATAGCGAACTTAGTAACATATATGTGAATTAAATGAATTTCTGATAAGTAAATACTAGACTGTTGCATAGCACCACATTTGTGAGAGAATCTCACCATAGGGGCATTGGAAAATGTGTCAGTAACACTGGATCAGATTATATAGGTTTTCTTGTATTAATTTTTTCCCCCATTAATTATATCCAAAGTATGATTAAATCATCATCCATTTCAACCTGAAAATAAAATTTTGTACAATTTATGAGAGGAAAATCAGGATTCATTTTCTGCAGTCTTAAGTATGGTAATGGTAATACAGGTAATTATTTCCTTCATATTCAACACTGTAGATCCAGTGTTGTACTCCCCGTCTTAGACTTAGTATAACCACGTAATAAATTAAAATTGTATGCATGTTGGAAGACCTACCCTCTATAGTAATTTTAATTATGTTTATTTTGAAGTTTTAAAAGCTTTAACCTTCCACTGTTCAGTGCATACTATAAATATATCCAATAACCAGTAATGAATATAGTGCAGGAAGTTTTAAATAAAATCCATTAATTGGGTTATGGAAGTTCATGTTCTTCCAGAAACTAGTAAGGATGTAAATATGTCTACTGTTCGCAAATATTACTCTTTTTTTGCCATTTTGCAAAGTAAAATTTATGATGAATCATACTTCTGCAAAAAATCTCATTATTAGTGTTCTGACATTTAAAGACGAGGCCTTAGATTGATAAAAGTTGGATGCACTCATGTACCACTTGCAGACAATAGAGAGAAATTCCCTATAAGAACATACAATCTCGTGTATTTTTGTACATTCCTACAATCACTTTGTTCCACTTGGCAGGCTCAAAAGACATGTTTTTGTACTGAAATTAGAAATAATACTAAGACTATAAAAGTTCTAGAATTGAAAGATTTAATTAATTCTCAAATATTTGTAACAGACAAAGTGAGCACCTAAGTGGAGGACAAAGGACGTTGTTTTGCAATAAGAACAAAGAGACTGGCATATACATCTGTAACATATCACTGTGTATATTCAGTTATATCAAACAAAAGTCATACACTTTGTACATATCATATATTATGCATTTTAATATGAAATTTTATCTTTCAGTTCCATTTCAAATTTGATTATTTAGATATTTGAATATGGCAATATTGGGTATGCAAGGCCTAATTTTCTGATTATTTTAACCATGAGTGATTTGTGGAAATCAAAACTAATATGGGTAGGCAGATTAACTGTTTATGTTAGGTTTTGTTTCTTCAGATATTTCAGCTCTCCAAGACCATAATTACCCAGATCATGCCTTATTTATACAGAGGGATGGAATAAATGTGAGTGAAGAAAGTATTTATATTGAACTGCTGGTCATTATTATTCATTATCATATCATTACAGCTTGTTGCCATTTGATCACTATTTGTTATGAGGTATATCATTCTCTGTTGTGTATATCATTTGAATAAATTTCTATCTTAAAGGAATGTGTAACTTTGTATATATTATCCACAGTCCCCACACACGTTCATTATCATAATCTACTTTCAGTTTTCTTTTGAATTAATTTTTAGTTTATCCCTCCCTGCTGTCTTTGTCTTGCTTCATTTGATAATGCCACCTTACCATTAATTCTGCATTTGGTTGTCAACTTTGCTTCCACTTTCTGTTGGTAATCTGGCATTTCATTTCATATTAGTGTTCCATTTAAAAGCAACCCAGTTACTACATGTGAATCACTTCATGCAAATTCAATGGCATATTTGTGGCTTATGCAGTTTTCAGTTAGTACAGTCATAGTTTCAGCTGTTTTGTCATTCAATGAGCATTTGTCAGAAACAAACACTGCCTCTGTTACCAGCCATTTATTGTAGTCTTATTTGGTACTTCCTTCTTGTCAGGATACACATTACTATATGCTCCATGAACACCAACAGACAGTTTTGATATAAAGTGATATTCAAGAATGAACATAAATTCTGCCTGTGAATACACCATTTTTGCACCTGCACAACTGATGTGAGCAGTGGTCTAGTAACCAGGTTGGTGACCTTGACTCTAGCATTCAGCATTGGTTTCCAAGACAGTCTTTAGGCTATAAAGTGATTAAAGGCTTAAATGGTTTCCACTAATATTCATGACTGTTAATAGCAAGATGGAGAATATTGAATAATCAGGAGCTTCATAAATTTTTGTACTCACCAATGAACAAATGAAGGGAGATGCACTCAGACATGTAATAACCACAAAACTGATGATAAGTGCATAAAGATTGCAGTTGGAAAACCCAAAGGGAAGAAATCAAATGGCAGGCACAGACACAGGTGAGAGGAGTCTTCAGGAAATGGGGCATCAGGGTATATTTCAAATCTCAACAGATGATAAGGTAGTAGTACTGGCCTATTTTCAAGATATTAATTAGCATATTTATTGAGAAAGTGAGGAAAATGATGAAAGGCCTCAGAATAGTCAGCTTTGTGCTAGAAACGGACAGGCACTTTCCAGGAACAATTTCTTTATACCGTGCATGAATCAGTGAAGTTCCATATCAAAGAATATTTTGTAACAAACAACACAGTAACAGACACTACAGAACTTATACATGATTCCTCAAACATGCAACTATATATTAGGCAATCATTCTGGGAGAAAATCTCACAATTGATACAGAAAATACTTTCCATGTATAAGTGTCAAGGCTTTTAAAGGAGTTATCATGTACCATAATATATACAGGATAAGATTAAGTTACTTGAACATATAACTGGAGCCCAGACTTTTCATCTCACATACAAAATCAAAACAGGATCTTCGAAGACATGTCAAGAATACAGACATCTGTATGTAAGGGTATTCACAATGTAGAAATCATTCACGCCTATGGATCCCCACTGAATGGATCAGCAGGACATACATTCATTATGAAAGAGATAATGAAATTTCATTGGACTTCTGTGACACATTTCTATGCTTTATATAAAGCAAACTCTATTCAAAGATTATACTCAATGGCAGACACACACAACTGTTTCAAACTGCGTTTATATTCCTTAGACGCTGTTTCTACTGTGAACATTGTGTTGAATATATTACACAGCTTAGCACCATAACCATTTCTACCTCCAGTAGCCTTTTCCTCTTCATCATTGTAGTTAGAAGATGTCAATAAATGACCAAGATCATAGTAGGTACATACATTTTTTCATCTTTGTGCTGAACAACTGGAATTCCTTGGCCATTATTCCACACTGATATTAAATTCCTATCTCTCAAACATAAAAACAGAATAAGACCAAAAAAAACTCACTTGTTTGCTCACTGCACAGCCCTTACTGAGAAGAGAACAGTCACTCTGCTACTCAAGAAATTCCTCACCTTATACAAATCCTGGATATTACTTACTTTGTTCACTCAAGCTAATCACTGGACACTCTAGAAGCCATGCAAATCCAGTTCACATTTTCTCAACCTCACTGTGAACACTAGTCCCTTATACTTGAAGGTGTTTGCTTTTAGAACTTTGTCTTAATCCACAAAAATGATTTGATGTCTCATCAGTTGACTCCTGTGCATGAATGATTTATTACACACCACACAGGATTATGAAATGATCCACTCTTTATGCATTCATGTACCTTCAGCGACTACTCATACTGAACGACATTTTACACAAACCAAAGGCATATATATCACTGCTCTCCCCTGTGTATGCATTGATGAATCTTCAGCTGGCTTCTGTGACTGAATGATTTATTGTACACATTACAGCCATATGGATGCTCTCCACTGTGTATGCCTTGATGAGTCTTCAGGTTGCCTCTTAGATTGAATGAATTATTGTACACATTACAGCCACATGGATGCTCTCCACTGTGTATGCCTTGATGAGTCTTCAGGTTGCCTCTTAGATTGAATGATTTATTGCACACATTACAGCCATATGGATGCTCTCCACTGTGAATGTGTTGATGAGTCTTCAGGTTGCCTCTTAGATTGAATGATTTATTGCACACATTACAGCCATATGGATGCTCTCCACTGTGAATGTGTTGATGAGTCTTCAGGTTGCCTCTTAGATTGAATGATTTATTGCACACATTACAGCCATATGGATGCTCTCCACTGTGAATGTGTTGATGAGTCTTCAGGTTGCCTCTTAGATTGAATGATTTATTGCACACATTACAGCCATATGGATGCTCTCCACTGTGAATGTGTTGATGAGTCTTCAGGTTGCCTCTTAGATTGAATGATTTATTGCACACATTACAGCCATATGGATGCTCTCCACTGTGAATGTGTTGATGAGTCTTCAGGTTGCCTCTTAGATTGAATGATTTATTGCACACATTACAGCCATATGGATGCTCTCCACTGTGAATGTGTTGATGAGTCTTCAGGTTGCCTCTTAGATTGAATGATTTATTGCACACATTACAGCCATATGGATGCTCTCCACTGTGAATGTGTTGATGAGTCTTCAGGTTGCCTCTTAGATTGAATGATTTATTGCACACATTACAGCCATATGGATGCTCTCCACTGTGAATGTGTTGATGAGTCTTCAGGTTGCCTCTTAGATTGAATGATTTATTGCACACATTACAGCCATATGGATGCTCTCCACTGTGAATGTGTTGATGAGTCTTCAGGTTGCCTCTTAGATTGAATGATTTATTGCACACATTACAGCCATATGGATGCTCTCCACTGTGAATGTGTTGATGAGTCTTCAGGTTGCCTCTTAGATTGAATGATTTATTGCACACATTACAGCCATATGGATGCTCTCCACTGTGAATGTGTTGATGAGTCTTCAGGTTGCCTCTTAGATTGAATGATTTATTGCACACATTACAGCCATATGGATGCTCTCCACTGTGAATGTGTTGATGAGTCTTCAGGTTGCCTCTTAGATTGAATGATTTATTGCACACATTACAGCCATATGGATGCTCTCCACTGTGAATGTGTTGATGAGTCTTCAGGTTGCCTCTTAGATTGAATGATTTATTGCACACATTACAGCCATATGGATTCTCTCCTCTGTGTATGCCTTGATGAGTCTTCAGGTTGCCTCTTAGACTGAATGATTTAATGATTTATTGCTCACATTACAACCATATGGATGCTCTCCACTGTGAATGTGTTGATGAGTCTTCAGGTTGCCTCTTAGATTGAATGATTTATCGCTCATATTACAACCATATGGACGCTCTCCTCTGTGTATGCATTGATGAATCTTCAGGTCGCTTCTTTGATTGAATTATTTATTGCACACATTACAGTCATATGGATGCCCCTCATCATGTGAAAGATGGTGTTCACTCAGAGGAATCTGTTGAGACAAAAGTATTAGGATAAGACAAATAGGAAAAAGAACAATGAGTTTGAAGTTAAAATTATTTTTTGTCAGGACTTTTTCCATCGTCTGTTTTCAAAATTCACTAAGGTCTTATAATTTTTATTTTATCATTTAAGTATTATAATCCACTGACAGAACCTGTACTTGGGTGGATAAGTTGAAATAACTGCACGAATTATATTGTCCAGTGACAGAGACTAGCACTTTTTAAGGGACCCAACAAGTAGGTACCTCTCACCTGAAGACGGAGACAGAACCAGCTTCCGAAACGCAGTGAATTTTAAAAACAGACGATGGAAAAAGTAATGACAACAAATAATTTTAAGTGTAAACTATCGTCAAAACCTTTTAGAATTGAATTACTTTGAAGATATTATTTATCTCAGTCACTTTTATATTTTCAGATTTCTTTTTACCTAATCCTATTATATGGTTAATATTAGTGGAAGGTGCACAGTAAACAGTGCAAGAATCATAGCCCCTCCAGTAGTATATGGCAGCATGGTGAAAGAAGAAATGCTGGAGCCCTTTAAGTCAAATGTGGGTCTCCAATTTGATTTGCTCTGCTCCCAGACTGTATAGTCAACTACTGTATTAATAGACTGTTAGATGACTATCTCTTCCAAATTTAATTTTTTTGAAATAACATACTTCTACCAATATTAGAATCAGCTAGTTTTGGAATTCACTAGCACTGCATTCTTCAATATTTTTGATTTAAATAAATGTCACTTTCTATGTATGAATACTATGTTGTTTTTAACATTTCACACATGTAACAGATACAATAGTAAGTAATATTGAACATACTGCAGCCTTCATCATAAAACATTGCCACTCTATGTGGATCAACATTTGTCTCTGTTTCAGACCATTATCAACTTGGATTTTTCCCCATGTTCTCCATCGCTTCCTGACGACATCCCTTGTAACTTGCTTACAAGAAGGGATAGAAAAATGAAAGGATTCTGTGGCCACATTTGCTAGAAATATTTTCAAGATTACTCAGTATTTAATTTCATGTCTGTTAATACTGACTGGAACTGACACTCTTCATACAACGAAGAGAATATAATCCTCAGGAGAAATTTTGGAAAGGACTCTTCAAAATTTATTCATCACAAGCGACTTTTTTCATTTGGATGGACAGACATACATGACGACAATCGACACTTTAATGGAAATGTTATTGCCACATAGTGTTCTTCAATTTCCATATCCGAGACATCCTCAGCTTTTACACTGATGACCTGATTTCCATCCCGACAAGTCTCACTGTCTGAATGAGGTTCATCTTTCACCGAATCCATACAGTTCTGTAAAACTGCCATACACATACACAATTATTATGTTGCAGAAATGTTGTTTTTATAAAACAGTTACCCTAAAACAGAAGCACATGCATGCATGTGTGGATACATTTGTACATACACTCAAACAGAAAAGAACCATAAATAATTTGGTTAAAAGGAGGCTTATCTTCCATTCATCCTTCATTATGGGAAAAGCTGATGGTGTGTTAACCTCATCATTTCTCACGTCAACGGAATCATCTTCTCTCTGAACATCTACATCATTTTCTACCTTGATTTTATCAATATCCAACTGTAAAATTGTGAGTTAAACATAATTCCTTGTGATGATATGCATTAAATGCAGGTATAAACTAGATGAGAATCTACAATAGAATATTCTGGAATAGAATATGGGGTGCCCTCAAGCCAATACTGGGTATTTTCAGGATAAAATTGTATCTCACAAATCTTTTTCACATAAAAATTTCCAGAATATAAGAAACTGCTGTAAAGTTATGTCCAGCAAGAAAATTCAGTAACCTTGTGTTGATGAAACAAGAAATTTACTGGAGTCTTACTGTAGTGATGCCAAGGTACATATCCTCTTACACAAGCATCTCACATTCAATCCCCATAGATACATACACACTTTCTTTCATTTATAAAGGCTAATTCCACCCTGTTAACTGTGTAGTGGTCATGTTCATGGTTTCCGCAACATAATGAACACGATGAGAATATTTTTCAACCACATTATAACACAAAGACTTGAGACCTTTTTATAACTATTAGTTATGTTTGTTTCTATACTCACCGAGGTCCCCTTCAGAGATGGAAATATTTCTTCAGCTCTGTGCAATATAATTTTTGGCACTCTTGTTGCAAGAGACTGCAGAATGTTTTTAAGGTATTAAAATTGTTCATCACACATCATGATTGGTGAACTGTATTAGAAAGTAGCATCAAAAAATCCTGCTGATATTACTTCACACTTCTGAATAAACGCAGCCAATCATATGAGCCTCCATTTGCAGTCAGCGATAATGTTTCTGCATTCTAGTGTAAAGGTAACTGGTTTTTGCAGCTGGAGTCGAATGTTTCATGTTAACCAACATTTTGGCAAATAAAGCAGTTGCCTTTTCGAGGTGGACCATGTGGTACATAGTGTACAAGAGTATCTTTCGTTTGGGAGGTGGTATCTTTTCGACTGTTACACATTGTGATGTTTATAAAACACAAAGGAATTGTAGCTGAAGGATCCGAAGTGTTCTTCATTGTGCGAAAACATTCAGTCGGTATAAAAATTGGAACCACTTTTTTGTTTTTAACGCTTTGACGTTAAACCTCGCCTTGATTGCTATGCAATTTATTGTGTTTTATAGTGATATTTCAAGTTAAACAAGTTCAGGCCTATGAAGGATCAATGGAATGTAAATAAAGGCTGTTCTATTGTAAAGATAGATGGCACAGAGAGATATCAACACGTTATTATTGTCATTATTGATAAAGATGATATGAAAATTCAATCATGAAACATTACAAGAATTCTGTAACGAGTGATGTTTTTGAAATTTCTTGTGATTATCTGAAGGCCTTTGGATGTATTAATTATAGCACACAAATTTAATTTCTTATAGTTGCTTTCTTCAAATGCATTCTTAACTTTGGTACCCCTTCTAGATATATTTAATACTACCTAAAATCAACCGTTTCCTTCCAGGACAAGGACAGATATTCCAAGATACATACAGATGTTATTTATGAGAAGCTGAATTCTTACAAGCCACTTTCTACCTAACCCACAAAACATGATGTGTGATGAACAATTTTTATACCTTAAAAACATTCTGCAGTCTCTTGCAACAAGAGTACCAAGAATTATACTGCACAGAGCTGAAGAAATATTTCCATCTCTGAAGGGGACCTAGGTGAGTATAGAAACAAACATAACTAATAGTTATAAAAAGTTCTCAAGTCTTTATGTTATAATGTGGTTGAAAAAGATTCTCATCTTGTGTTCATTATGTTGCGGAAACCATGAGCACGACCACTACACAGTTAACAGGGTGGAATTAACCTTTATAAATGAAAGAAAGTGTGTATGTATCTATGGAGATTGAATGTGAGATGCTTGTGTAAGAGGATATGTACCTTGGCATCACTACAGTAAGACTCCAGTAAATTTCTTGTTTCATCAACACAAGGTTAATGAATTTTCTTGCTGGACATAACTTTACAGCAGTTTCTTATATTCTGGAAATTTTTATGTGAAAAAGATTTGTGAGATACAATTTTATCCTGAAAATACCCAGTATTGGCTTGAGGGCACCCCATATTCTATTCCAAAATATTCCATTGTAGATTCTCATCTAGTTTATACCTGCATTTAATGCATATCATCACAAGGAATTATGTTTAACTCACAATTTTACAGCAGAATATTGATAAAATCAAGGTAGAAAATGATGTGGATGTTCAGAGTGAAGATGATTCCGTTGACGTGAGAAATGATGAGGTTAACACACCATCAGCTTTTCCCATAATGAAGGATGAATGGAAGGTAAGCCTCCTTTTAACCAAATTATTTATGGTTCTTTTCTGTTCGATTGTATGTACAAATGTATCCATATATGCATGCATGTGCTTCTGTTTTAGGGTAACTGTTTTATAAAAACAACATTTCTGCAACATAATAATTGTGTATGTGTATGGCAGTTTTACAGAACTGTATGGATTCGGTGAAAGATGAACCTCATTCAGACAGTGAGACTTGTCAGGGTGGAAATCAGGTCATCAGTGTAAAAGCTGAGGATGTCTCAGATATGGAAATTGAAGAACACTATGTGGCAATAACATTTCCAGTTATAAAGGATGAACAGGAGGTATGTCCATTAAAGTGTCGATTGTCCTCATGTGTGTCTGTCCATCCACATGAAAGAAGTCACTTCTGATGAATAAATTTTGAAATTGTATCTAGGTTATGAATGGTATCACAAACAATCTTTAGACATTCGTAGATCCTGCTAATTATTCTACAGATGGAATCAAAGCACTGTGTTTGTTTTTGCAGTACACTCAGGCATTACCCCATTCTTCTGAAGTAAGGAAGAGACAGTTTTATTAGGGTATGCTGAATTACCAGATTGTACTCTCAGTAGATCTTATTTTGGATGGATGTATTATGTATTCCCATTT